TAATCTTTGGTCTCTAAATATCAGTGATCGGTTTTTACTGTATTTCACTGAAACGAGGAAAGAGAAATTAAAAAGAAACTGAAAGAAAATAATTCTGACATTTGAAAAATTCTTTAACTTTCATCAGCTTCACAAAACATCATAACTATTACAGTTATTGTTTACGCAGCTATCTCGACATTTAGGATATATCTAGGATCCTAGGATAGACTCTAGGCAGAAATTAGGATAAAACCAGTTTCACCTCAAATAGAGATGACAGAATTTACGATGCCCTCACTCCTTTTTCCTGATTCCTAACCACTCTCTCTGCCAGTACTCCTACTTTCTTTTCAGCCTTCCACAAGTTTTCCTTAAACTCCAGCTCAAGGATATACACAAGACCTCATATTCTGTGTCTCTAAGCACCAATTCAAGTTATTTCCTATCCTACTAGGCTTTTTGGTGGTAAACCATATCAATGCCAATGTATTCCCCACATTATATATAATAAAGCCGAGGTAGGAAGTTACACTGCCTCTAATTTATAAGATTCTCAGTTCTTTCGTTGTTTTTTTAATTGGTATACGATCACAAGATGGTAACTTCAGGTAAGAATTAAAAGAACACCAAAATATGAACAAGAAATTCGTTATTACACAGAATGTAGATTGCTTCTGAAAATAAGAAAACTAAAAATGCTCTATTTTAAGGAATATGTGAAGGTAAATTTGTAAATATAAAACTGATTATGGTAAACTAGTTTAAAAGTAACTTAACATAGAAAACAGGTTCCCTTTATTTCAGCATGTTAAAGAAAACAAAGACTAAAATACTAAAAGAAACAGGGCAAGTTAAATTAAGAAATAACACCAAATAATTAAATAGGCAGAAACATCAAGTTCATTTATAGTGGTGGGATGGATGGCAGCCCCCCGAAAACATGACCCAATCCTAAACCCTGGAACCTGTGAAGTTCTCTTATTTGGGAAAAAAAGTCTTTGTTGATGTAATTAAATTAAGAATCTTGAGAGGAGGAGATCATCCTGGATTATCCAGGTGGATCTAAACCCAATGACAAGTGTCCTCATAAGAGAAGAGGAGGAGATTTGAAAGAGACAGAAGAGGAGGGGCAAGGTCTCCAAGGCAAAAACCGGCAGAGGTGGCCCCAAGTCAAAGAATGCCAACAGCATCGGAAGCCGAAAGAGACAAAGAACAGATTCTTCCCTAGAGTCTCCAGAGTGAGGTAATGGAGCCTACACCCTGACTTCAGTATTCTGGGCCGCAGGGACCATGAGAAAATGAGTTTTCGGTTACTTTAAGCCAGGAAGTTTGAGGTGATCTCCTTTGGCAGCCACAGTTATTTGAATCAAAGCCTCTCAAAACAGAGATTCATGTTGACTCTCAGTGATTCAAATCAAATGAAATACACAAAACTTATAAAATTCTCTCCATGCTAAAGGAATAAATAGTAAAGAAAGTAGCCAGTTGAGTTTCAATACTAATGATTCTAGAAGCACCTAAAAAGATAAACAAGTTGTAAAGAATAATTTTAGCAACACTGACTGAAACTTCCTTCCATCTCAGAGATACATATGAAAATAAAGTAGTGAAAATAGGGAAAAATAGGTATCTAACTAGAATCCAATGGAACATCCAAGTAAACTTGCTGGAAGCAGGTTCATCTGCCAAGCACAGACCACAAACTGGACCTACTTCTCCTCAGCTTAAAAGCTCTAGGCAAAGGAAAATATTCTGTGAGAACTACTATGACCATTTCTTCTTTAAACCTTTTGTTAAAAGGCATTAAAACGTCATTTTCTAAAATTCTAACTTAAAAATGCTTTTTTCAATGTTTATAATTTAATGAACTTACTTTTCTTTAAAACTTTCTATCTTCTTAAATTACTGAAAGTCCCTTCAGAAATGTGTCAGTATTTAATACAGAACAAGAGAATCATCTAGCCTTGCAAATGAAAAGCTGATACACCACAGAGGTGGTGGCCTATAATCCCAGCACTCTGGGAGGCAGAAGTGAGAGGACTTCCTGAGCCCACAGGTTTAAGATCAGCCAGGGCAACATGGTGAGACCACACCTCTACAATAAATCAAAAAATTAGCTGGGCATGGTGTCACATGCCTGTAGCTCCAGCTCTTGGAAGGCTGAGGTGGAAGGATCTCCTGAGCCCAGCAGATCGAGGCTGTGGTGGCCGTGAGCATGCCACTGCACTATAGCCTGAGTGACAGAGACTACGACTCAAAAAAAAAAAAAGAGAAGCTGATAAAAAATTCAAGTAAAGAAAAAAAAGTAACCTAGCAAAACAAAAAAGACAAGCTAAAATTTTAATCAAAACATCTCAATGACAACATCAATGATGAAAAATAATGGGTAAAAAATAAGGTGAGAGAATGTCCCTATAAATTTGTTTCCTTTGAGATTTATATTTGAAGATAGTTATTTATTCTTCTATTGATTTAATCTTCAAAGAACCTATCAAAAATATTGGAAGGTAGCCCTGCATACACAGAAAAACTCAGATTCCAGAAAAAGTCCCTAACACATTCAAATGCTCTCTCATGCTGGGTGCAGTGTCTTATGCCTCTAAGCCCAGTGGCCCCAGTGTCTTGAAAGGCTGAGGCAGGGGCAACCCCCTCAAGTCCCCTCCCACTCTGGAAGTTTTTCTGTCCCCTCAATAAATCCTACTTTCTTAAAAAAAAGAAAGAAAGAAAGAAAGAAAGGCTAAGTAAGGCAGGAAGTTTGAGGCCAGAAGTTAAGAGACCAGACTGGGCAACATAATGAAACTTGCCCTACCTCTAAAACTACATAAAAGTAAAAAAATAAGAAAATACCCTGCTTTCTGTTGCTAAACAACAAATAACTCCTTAACAAAAAATAATAATGCAGGAAAACAAGAAACTCTTGACTCTACAGTTTTATTAAATGTTCATAATCTGCACTTGATGATCAGTGGGCAATTGGTTCTAGGACTCCTAACAAATTGCATCAAGGAACGCACACTAAATAAAATTTTGAATTATACTTAAGGGCCCTCAGACATCCTTTCACAAATGTCTGAAGATAATCACTGGATCCCAGATCTTTTATTGCAACAATAGAGCATGAAGAGTCACTAGGTTAAGTGTTTTAAAAACCACTTGCTGAGAAGCAAGTAAATTGGAGATGTGTCGTCATCAATCTATAAGGTAAAGTACTGTGTGTGGCTTCAGAAATACTGTGAAGTTTTACAATCATTTTTAAAAAATAAGAATTTGCCAAACAAAAAAGTACTTCAACAATATATTCCAAATTATATTGTGTGGAACATACCATACTCTCTGAACAAAAATAAAATAACCCACCACAGGTAGATTATTTTTCTAAGAGGTTTTGTGTACTGATTTTATGTACTGAGCTTGTATCCCAGACCAGGCCAGTTGTCATAGGAGGCGAAAGTATATACTTGAACATGATAAAACCATACACGTAGACAAACTTGGTGAAGTAATAGCAGCATAAAAGGAAAACATTAACCTGAATTACGGAAAATTTTAAATGAGGCCCATTTTAAAATTACCAGAAAACCATGACCTGGAACAGCAATCTTCTTCTTTTCTAGGAGACAGTTACAGCTACTGGTTTAAATGGAAGCCCTGGCCCCTCCTAGTTCCCTTCCCCCCAAAATCAACCTCCAACTGGGGCAAACCCAGAGTCATCAGGGATTACAGCAGTGCAATTGCAAACTAATATAGTAGCCGGCTGACCCAGGGTGAAAACGGTTGCTCCTGGTGGAAAGAAAACTAGAAAGGCAAAAAGATAACAAGGCACAGTCCCATCCTCCTCACCCCACTCCGAGAAAATTAAAAGAGGACTAACTGGACAATAGACATAACCAAAAATAAAACTCTTCTTTCAAACTGAGAAATAAAAGAAAAATTCACAACTGTTATTTTCCATGAGACTCTAAACAACTAATGTTAAGAGGGACTTCTACTTTTATCGTCTTCCAAGTTTAATCTACAAATCCAACCTCTACAGAGAAAGAGTAACAGAAAGCAATCAGACAAACGATCACCCACACACTGAGGCCTGGTTAAAGTTGGCAAGAACTGTGTCTACAGTAAGGCTTCCACTGTAACAAATGTATTCATTTCCTCGCCCAGTTTTCACGGGGGAAGAAGACAACCCAGAGCTGTACTTCTTGTCCAAAGAGTAGCATCAATCTATCTGTTCCAAAAGAAGGTCATTTTGCTCACTTATTTTTATTTACTTATTTATTTTGAGTTTGAGTCGGAGTCTCACTCTGTCGCCCAGGCCGGCGTGCAGTGGCACGCTCCCGGCCACTGCAGCCTCGACCGGTGGGCTACGGCGATCCTTCCGCCTCAGACTTCCAAGCGGCTGGAACCACGGGCGCGCGCCACCACGCCTGGCTCATTTTTTGACTTACTGGAGAGGCGAGGTCTCGCCATGTTGCCCAGGGTGGTGTCGCACCCCTGGACCCGGGCGATCCTCTCGCCTCGGCCTCCCAAGGTGCTGGGATGACAGGCGTGAGCCACCGCGCCCGGCTAAGGGAAGGTCATTTCAAAAGCGCACTTCTGAGCGCAGCCGCAGCCTGTCTGCTCCGGCTTGCCCACCTTCTTGGACCAAACGCCAAAACGGTCAAGGGCCTGCCCTCCTTAAAACGTGCCCCCGCGCCTGCTTCGCTAGGCATCGGGACGTACAGGGGGACACACCCGCCGGGGGCGGGGGGCGAGGGGCGGGGACGGCAGGCGGATGAGCCCACCGGCGGCCTCGGACCCACGTCCCCGCGGCTTTCTAGGAGACCTGCCGGGAAGCATCCGGCCAGAGCGCAGCGAGCACGTGAAGCTCTCCGGCCGAGGGTGCCCGGAGGACGGCACGTGCTCCCGAGGCTGGACCCGGCAGGCGGGCCGGCGCGACCCCAAGCCCCGCGGGGAGTGGGAGGGGGGGAGCGGCTCGGCGGGACGGCGGGACGGCGGGGCGCTGAGGACGGGCCGTGCCTCACCTGGACCCCGGTGTAGTTCTCGAAGAAGAAGAGCACCATGTTCTGGTAGACGCAGTAGAGCCGGTCGTCCAGCGCCTGGTAGAAGCGGGCGGGCAGGAGGGCGGAGAGCAGCCGCAGGGCCCCCCAGAGCAGCACGTAGGTGGGCGCGGAGCCCAGGAGCACGACCCCGGGCAGCAGGTAGCGCATGGAGTACGTGTGGAGCACCAGGGACAGCAGCATCTTCCCGGCTCGGCGGCCGCGGGCCCAGCCTGCGCTCCCCGCCCGGCCGCCCCG